TGAACTAAATACCTACTCTCATAGGAAGCAGAGTCAGAAGCTGTCATATTAAACCCAACAGTTCCCACAATGAGCGAGCCCTGTGGCGACTGTGGAGAGGAAAAACTCCCTCTTTAACTGGGAGAAACCTCTGGCAGAACCAGACTCAGTGTGGGCGTCTGCCTCGACTGGTTGGGGTGAGAGGAGAGAAATGAGGAAAGAGGAGGTGTGTGACAATGAGGGAGTAGAATAGAGAGAGAGATGGGGTGGTTGGGTCAGGAGAGGGGAGAGGGACCTCGAGAACATCATACATGAACTCGATAAGTCTCATTATTGTAGTGAAAGTAATTACAGGTCGCATGTTAGAAATGCTTTCCTGTAAAAATAAGTTTTGAGCAGTGATATAAAGATCGGTATTGAGTTTGCGAGCCCAATCTCATCTGGCAGGGAGTTCCAGAGCCTCGGGGCCCTGACAGAAAACGCTGGGTCACCTTTAGTGGCCAGCTTTATTGATGTTGTATTTGTTAAAATACAAGCAGTATTTTATAAAAATTGGCAATTAGATAAATAATGAAACCTAGAACCAGGTATGAACAGGCCTCTGACACAGGAGTCGTTCCCTGGACCTCAGGATGCTCTGACTATGTACAACTATGAATACACTACATGAAGATGCCTAAAAGAGCACACACACAGGCACAACCTGGACTCATCTCACATTCATCATCAATTACTCTTAAATATAAGCTGCAAATGAGTTACCAGGTTTTGGCCAAGGCATGTATACAGAGCGTTTCAATAATCCAGGCTGGAGAAAACAAAGGCACGTATTACCTTTTCTAAATCAGAGAGAGATAGAACCAATTTGATTTTAGAAATATTTCCTAGATGGAGGTAGCTTAGTTTAGATGGGGATCGAATGTGACGCCTAGATTTTTAGCTGTTGTTTTAATATTGGCTGCCAGGGGACTGAAAAATGATAGGACCGAAGATAATTATTTCAGTTTTATTTGAGTTTAACTAAAGATAGTTAAGTGACATCCATTCCTTAATTGCGGATAGGCACTCTGTTAGGACACTCACACGGCTTACATAGCCTGGCTTGAAGGACAAGTATATTTGGGTGTCATCAGCATAGGAATGATATGATATCCCATTAAAGTGGCTGATGACGTTTCCTAATGGGAGCATGTGAAACAAGAATGGGATGGGACCAAGAATAGAAACTTGTGGCACTCCATACATCAGTGGGGCCAGGGATGAGGCATTATTTCCGATGGAAATGGAGATTTGTCTATCTGAGACATATGACTTGAACCAACTAAGGGCAGTTCCAGATATGCCGACGTATTGCGTTATTCTATTGATCAGGATGTTATGATCAGTGGTGTCAAATGCTGCACTGAGGTCAAGGAGCAGTAATACGCAGCATTCACCAGCATTGGCAGACGTTAATAAGTCGTTGGTGATTTTGACAAAATGGTTTCTGTACTATGTCATTTGCGAAATCCTGACTGGAATTGGTCGAAAATTTTATTATCCTTACACACAGCTAGCAGTTGGGTCAGAACCACCTTTTCAAGGATTGAAAGGGGATTTTGAAATGGGCCTGTAATTTTGTGGGAGTGCATGGTCAAGATTTGGCTTTTTCAATAAAGGCTGAATGGTGGCTTTCTTGAAGTAGTCTGGGACTTGGCCAGAAGAAAGGGAGCAATTAATAATTCTAAGAAGGCTAGGGCCAGTAGTATTGATTACTTCTTCAAGGAGTGATGTGGGTATGATGTCGAGAGGGTCGATGAAATCAGGAAGTGAAACTTGCTGAAAGTTGATAAGTAAAATGGGACGGGCAGGATACTCTGCAATATTGTGGATGATGGAGGTGGGTGGTGCAATGTTTATTCTAATGTCTACTTTTTGCAGAATGAAAGATAAAAACTTTTCACAGTTGGTATGTGAGGTGGCCAGACAAGCAGAAGGAGCAGGGTTTATAAGTCTCTTGATGGTTTTAAAAAAGAATCTGGGATTATTGTGATTACTAGCGATTAGTTCTGAGAAATAGTTAGCTCTTGCAGTTTTACTTTTGTTATTGTAAGAAGTTTAAAGGTTTTTCATATGTAAGTAGTGGACATGGAGTTTTGTCTTTTTCCAATTCTGTTAGGTTTTTCTGCATAGCCTTTTAAATTCTGTTAGCCTATCATCAACCCATGGAGAGGTGTTAACAGGTGATTTCATTCTAATTTTAATGGGGGCTATAGTATCTAGTATGATTTGACAGGTATTATTGAAGCCATTAAGTAGAATATTGGGATCTGATGACTCATAAGGATTATGGTAAAGAACACCAGTGGAAAAGTGAGATGAGAATTTTGAGGCACTATGTTCATTTAAAATGCGTGAGCTTTTAGTGGATTTGATGGTTTTTTGTGCAACATGGAAAAGGGAGTCAAACTCAACACAGAGATGGTCAGAGACAAATATTTCTTCTAAGGTCAAGGAATTGATGCTCAGACCGTGGGTAAAGACTAGATCTAATGTGTGGCCATGGTTATGAGTTGGACTAGTCACATGTCGGACAAGATTAAAGACTCTGTGATGTTTAAGAATTCAGTTGCAAAACCATTACTTGGGTCATCAATGTGAATATTAAAATCACCAACAATGATAGCACTATCATAGTTTAAGACAATGAAAGATAAAAGTCAATTAATGTGATAAAGAGGGAGAGAAGGAAAGAGTGATATGGTACTATGAGCCCTTTAGGGTGTGATGGTGCCATATTATTAAGGACCTTTTATGCAAGGGGGAGAATTTAATATCGTGTTCTAGATTTAACAGGAAGCCAGTGCAGTGAAACTAATACAGGAGACATGTGGTCTCTTTCCTGGTTTTTGTCAGGACATTTGGCAGCATTTTGGACAAGCTGCAGAGTCTTTAACGACTTACTGCCGGAGCCCAAGTATGGATGTGACAAAGGCATGGACATGTCTGACTTTTGAGATGTTACGTAAGTGAAAGAAGGCGGTCCTAGAATAACGTTTTAAGAAAAGATCAAAGGACAAATTGGGCTAAAAAGATAACTCCCAGTTTCCTTACTGTTTCACTGAAAGCAAGAGCAATATCATTTAGCGCAGCTATATCATGAGATAATGTTTCTGTGTTTAGGGCCAAGTATTAGAACCTCTGTTTTATCTGAGTTTAATAAGATAAAATTGTGGGTCATCCAGGTTTTTATGTCCTTGAACCATGCTTAAAGTTTAATTAATTGATTACACTGTTCTGGTTTTATTGATAAGTATAACTGGAGTGGGAACTTACAGTGTGTGTCCTGATAATGTTTCTTAGTGGAAGCATCTATAATGAAATTAAAATTGGTCCAAGCACAGAACTCTGAGGAACACTGTGGTTAACTTTGGTGCGCACAGATGACTCAATCAATCTGATAAATAGGATTGAATCCAGTTTAGGGCAATTAACTGTTCTAGTCTCTATAATAAAATGTTATGATCAATAGTGTTGAATGCTGCACTAAGATCTAACAGAACAAGGACAGACACAAACCCTTGATCTTAAGCTACTGGAAGGTCATTAGTGACTTTTGCCAAGGCTGTCTCTGTGCTGTGATGAGCTCTAACTGACTGAAGGTCTTCATATACAATCATATTCATGGAGAAACTCACACAGCTGAAGGGGAGGTTGGATATCGGTGGTGGGGGTTTGATTACAGCTAGCTTAAAGATCATAGCGATAGATTGATTGTATTCAGTAAAGTACAATTTTTTAGGGGACAAGCAATATATTCATTCAAGACTTTTCCAAAACAGTTTTTTCAAAATGTACTTTTTTGTTTCTTATTTTTTGGATTAATTGAAACAACTGGAGGTTGATAAAATTTCAATCTGATCTCGGTGTTGACATTTGAGACACATTAATAGAACAATTAATATAACAGAAATACGAGGCTGCAGTGACAGACTCGCCAACACTTGTCTAGGGCGGCTGTTGCTGAGGGGATAGTGTTCATCCTCTAACCAGAAGGTCGGCGGTTAGATCCCAGTCTTCCCCATTTGCATGCTGAAGTGTCCTTGGGCAAGATACTTAAATCCAAATTGCCCTCAGTGCTGCCCATAGATGCACTGTATGAATGACAAAAATAAAAACTACTGTAAATTAATTTGAGAGGTCATTAGGACTAGAAAAGTGTATAAATATATATAAATGAAGACTGGTCTGATGAATCTGGATTTCTGCTCAGGCCACAGATAATATGGTTAGAATCTACCATTTTTATGTGAAAAAAAACTTTATTGGACATTTTATGGACTGTTTACATTGTGTGCTTCCATGTGATGTGGCAGTGGAGATGGTCTACTAGACCGATTCCAAAAACCTTTGTAAGTACCATTCGTTTGCACAGTCATATTGATGATAACATGGCCCAGTTTAGATAATCCGAGGATTCCCCTTTAAGGTAAATGACATTGTCCATGTTCTCATTTTTCTTCTTTTTTGTTGTTGTGGCTGAGTCGTTAAGGTGATGGACTAGAAATCCAATGGGGTTTCCCCTTGCAGGTTCAAAGCCTGCCAACAACGCTAGGCAGCTTTTTGTGTTCATGTTTCTTTCAGTGCTTACATTTAGGAACCAAGCAGCCCTACAATGAAGACAACACAACTGCAAGTAAAAGCTGGAAAGGTGAAACGCTAATTATGTTGTTTCAAAGACTCAGTTACAATCAAGGATTTGCTTTATTGCACTGTACTTCATCACAGCAAATTCTCACTGCTTGTACTCAGAGTTTAGGTAGAGATGTAGACACATTCAGTTCTCTGTTTAATGTGTAACAGAACTTTGACTTAAACTGCCTCTTCTTTTCTTCCCCTCTTTGGATTCTGTTTGGTTGGCTTTCTCTCACCTTTTTCCACATTTCTTGGATTCTAACACCTAACTTGCAAGGAATTCATGGCGATGGTGGTATAGTGTTAAGCATAGCTGCCTACCAAACATTTGACCTAGGTTCGACACCAGCCATCGCAGAAATTTTAGGCGCAACAATTGGTTTTATAGTCAGACTTGTTTGTTAGTATCAATAGATTCCTCAACTGTCCCAACAACAGGAGGAGGATGAAGCATAAAATCTTAATCTGATCTCAGTTGTGACATTTCAGACACATTATATTAATATAGCAGAAATATGAGGCTGCAGTGACAGACTCACCAACACTTGCCTGGGGCGGGTGTTGCTGAGGGGATCGAGCATTTGTCCTCGACCAGAAGGTCAGCAGTTAAATCCCAGTCTTCTTCATTTGCATGCCGAAGTGTCCTTAGGCAAGATACTGAACTCCAAATTGCCCTCATAGAATAAAAGTGCTGCCCATAGATGTACTGTATGAATGGCAAAAACAAAAACTACTGTAAATTAATTTGAGAGGTCATTAAGAGAAGAAAATCATTATATATAAATGAAGACTTAAATATTGAAAAATAAAGCCTGGTCTGATGAATCTGGATTTCTGTTGAGGCCGCAGATAATAGGGTCAGAATCTGCTATTTTTATGTGAAAAAAAACCTTTATTGGACATTTTGTTGACTGTTGCTGTTGCCCCTTAAGATTACATTGTGGCCACTGCTGCCATGTGATGGCTGCCAATGGAGACAATCTACTGGACCAATTCCAAAAACCTCTTTAAGTACCATACCCTCATAGAACAAAAAAAGTGCTGCTAATAGATGCACTGTTTGATTGTGTGTGTGAATCTGTATGAATGGGTGAATGGCAAACTGTACTGTAAAGTGGTTTGAGTGGTCACCAAGACTAGAAAAGCTCTATATAAATGCAAACTATTTACCATTTACCGTTTGCACAGTCATATTTATCATCAAAGGGCCCAGCTTGAAAAATGCCAGGATTCTCCTTTAAAGGCCCAGTGTGTAAGATTTAGGTGAAAGGGATCTATTATCAGAAATTTAATGTAGAATAATCCTCATGATGTTTTCACTAGTTTGTTTCATCTAAATTGTATGAATTGCAGTTTTATTTACCCCAGAAAAGGCCCTGTATATTTAAATACTTTATATTTACATGGAGTTTTTCTAGTTATTGAAGGCTACCACAGGTTCTCTGTCATTTGAAGGGGTGGGTGATGTGAGGGGTGTTCAGCTGCAACATAAAATTTCAATACTCGATATCACAAAATTCTACACACTGTACCTTTAAGGTAAATGGCATGTCCATGTTCTCCAGAGCAACACAGAATCGTCTTATGATGTTACACCAGCTTGATGACATCATTAGTCTGTATTATTTTAAAAATAAAATACACTTTGTTTGACCTTCAGGAAAAATTGCTACACCATTAAAGGGATAGTTCACCCAAAAACGAAAATTCATGCATTATATGAAGCTCAGCGTCCATCCAAGTGTCTGGAAGCCCCGACATTCAAATTAGACTTGAAACAAGTACATTTACACCATTTGTGATCCTCTTCTGGAGCCACATTCAAGTATGGATTACATCTCCTAGTGTGTATCTGCTTCTGTCAATACAGATTTATACATTTATTGTATTATATTTTTGTTTCTAATCTAAATATATTATTGGAGATTACCTGTAAAGCAGCTGTTATAAATCAACAGCAAAATATGATGACAGTTAAAATACCTTGGATATAATTTCAACTTCTTGTGATTTAAATTCACTTCATCTCATAAATGAAAAACAACTCAGAATCAAGCTGAAAGAAAAGGGGCGTGGATGCAGTACGTGAAGCTAGATGGATGAGAGAAACTACAGGGTTTGGCGCATCACCTTGCACACACACGCACATGCACACACACTATCATAGACCCGTTATGACCAGAATAACCTAATGATCTTGTCATCACTCTTGTTTCAGTGATGGAAGGTAGCCAGCCATCATTGATCACTCTCCAAATGCTCTGTGATGATTAGAGTTCCTATAATGCTGTTTGATGCAGACAGTAATTGATAGGTGCTGACATGATGTGGATTGTGTGAGATGTAATGGAATGAAACTTTTCAGAGTGAAGCTGCAGGTCATCTGTCTTGGATCCCCTCTCTCTTTCTCTTAGTGACAGCCATCAGCTCCTCTTTCTCTCTCTCTTTTTTCCAGTCTTTTGTTAGGTAAATGAGGAGAGGTTGACCCCATTCTTAATTTGCAGCCACCCGCTGGCCGATGGAAGGCAGAAAGAAATGACGGGCTGAATGAATGAATGAAACAGAGGGAGAGAACCAATGAATAGTCTTTTTTTCAACAAAGCCTTACTTCTGAATTTGCAGTGTATGAAATTTGTGTGAACCTTTGAGGGAAGTGTGTGTGTGTGCTAATATTACAATATTCTCAGTATTCTGAATGCAAGTTGCCGGTTTATTGCCAGTGTCCATTGCTAGCGTCATAGAGATCTCATAGAGAATACTTATTGGCTTATGTTGGAAAAGCTGAAAGTTATGAAAAAATGAATGAAGGCCTACATCTGTCCACCACACAGGAACTGCAACTGCAACGTAAACTACCATTATGAATGACTGCGAATTAGGCCAGTTCAGCAGATTGTCATTTTATAGAGCTACAGTATAAATAGATCTATATCTTCCATATGTTGACATATGTTGGTCATGAGGGAGCATGGAAGAAGAAAAAGGAAGAAGACTGAACCCAGCACAAAGCCTTGGGGCATTCTACAAGCAACACCTGGAGCGGCTGACCAGACATTAGCCATACAAACACAAAAAGGACAGTCTTTCAGCTAGGGCCAAACAAATGCAGTGCCAAGGATGCAAGATGGTCCAAGACATCATAGTCAGTGGTACTGAATGTTGCACTTTGATCCAGGAAAACAAGGATACGTTTATGGCCAACGTTAAGAAAGCAGTTTTAACATGATCCAGAATGGATCCTGTTGATACACATACTCTATATTAAGACATAGCAATTTTCACAAAGTCAAACCAAGTGCTGAGGGATTCTTAATAAAACCATGAAACAATTTGATAAAGCTGTAGCAGATATGTGCACACACTGTATTGTATGATCTGCTCTATGGCTAAAATCAAATGGAATAAATTGTTGGTAAAAATATTACTAATGCGTTCAGAATCAACATTTTGAAAATTCCTCATTCAGTTGGCATTACATGTCCTTCCTTCCTGCTGCTCCAGAGACGGACAGACTCTTGAGACTTAACTGTTTGTTTTTAAATAATTTCTGAAACCTACAAATCTTTTACAGAATGGTTTTTACTTGATTGATTTTTACTATTAACTATTTGTTTATTTTGTCCTTTTATTTTGCCATTAGTAATAAGTGATGTAACATTTCATTTGCTGCAGATTTTCTATTATATAATTAGTTATCTTTGACAACGCGCCACTTGGGCACAAGCTGGGGACTGATCACCCCCGGCTGGGTCGCCCAGGAGAGGGTGTCTGAAGATTATACACCCGAAACACCCTATGATCCTGGGTTCTTCACTGATGACGTGTCCAAGTATCACTGGAAGGTGTATTCAACTCCTGTATATCAGTTTCTATCAATGGAGTTCATTCAGCAATATCTTACGTTTTTTCTTAAATTTCCTCTCAGGCAGGCGTGCGCTTCTGCCACTCATGGCAGCACATATAACTATTTTTCAGAATAATTCAATTTCAGCTCCTCAAACTAAATGTCAGTGCAAATCTCCACTATACACCACTAAGTTCCATTTTTATTGGGATGGTTATGATGTAGATGATGAAATTACAATCACATATTTCGTTATTAAACAATAGTGTCGGATAACGTCGGCGTGTTGCTCCGGTCACTTTAACACTGAGTCCTGACTGTGAGTGTCACATCTTGTGTTGTACTGAGCACAAAATGTTGACAACTCGTTTTTCATTATGTTTAAATGCAGCCTCATAAACTCTAGTAATACAGATTTCGCCACACTGGACAAAGTGGGCAATTGCCTAGTTCACAATCAGGGTGGGTTTGGACAAAATTCTTTAAATAATACTTTGGGTTCTGGTCGGTAACGTTGACTTGCCGGGTTTTTTACACTGCACATGTCTGTAATCTGGGAAAACAAGCAATAACCATATCAGATGGAGAACGGAGTACACAAACTCTGCAATGGTATATAAATAAAGTTAATAGCATAATTTGTTGTGCGCTGCTGTTTGTTGCACTAGGCATTTTTCACAGCTCTGATGGGACTAGCATTGATCATTACGAAGTTTGCTTCCACTTGACTATGTTTGGTTATTTACCTACATCCATGGTTTTCAACCTGTCAATCACAATTAACTGGTAGACTTTCCCTGTAGCTCCCCAAAAATAATAGAAAAAAGAGAGGAATTTCTATTTACCTTGACCACATTATACCAGTGTGTATGTAGGTTGTGCCATCATAGGGAAGCACTGTCTAAAAGAGGCAAACTGGAGCAGCACCACAAAACCAACATCAGTAATTCAAAAGTCTGCTACTCGTCAAAGAGCGAAATCTGTGCTAGGAAAGTTGACGAGTGAAAAGCTCAGCAATCACTTTTCACAAAATCTCTTTTTAAAAAATAAGGCTGTTACTGAAGTATAATTT